ATAAATTTGGTCTTTGTCATTGTAAACAAGAGAGTTTACAACATGTAGGACTTTCGTTATATTGTTATGGACAGAGGGGTTCCATAAAGTTATAAAAGAGATCCTTAATCTTGTAATATTGTAATTTACAAAACTCGTCATGACCCCCAATACAATGTTAAGGTAAGAATGAACCTTGGAGTAGTAAATTGAGTCATTATCCTTGTAAACAAGGTGGCGGTTACAACATTAATGATTCGTATTATACTAAAATGGACATAGTCATTCCATTACATTGTAAAAACCATCATTAATCTCGTAATACCATAATTTACAACAACAAGGAACCCTTGTGTAAGAATAGGGTAAGAGTGGACCTTGGTGGAATAAATTTGGTCTTTATTCTTGTAAACACAAGGGTTTATAGTATTAAGGACCTCCTTTACTATGTTTTGGACCTCTATATTCCATAAACTTGTAAAGTGTATCCATAAACTTGTAATATCATAAATTACAATAGAAAGGATCTCTATTACATGGTTAAGGTAATTATGGACCTTAGAGATGTAAAATTGGTACTTATTCTTGTAAATGTAATGGTTTATAACATTGAGGAATTGTATTACAATGCTTTGGATGTAAGCTCTCCATAAACTCGTAACGCAAATCCTTAATCTCGTACATTACAAGATTTGGGTTCTCATTTATGATTTTTTTCACCATGATTACAATTATGAGGTTCTTCCTTATCCCTAGCGTTGTAATATCCTGATTTACAATTGAAAGGATCCCTCTTACAATGATAAGGTAAGGGTAGACTTTGGAGAAGTAAAAGTGGTCCTTATTCTTGTAAACACAAGGGTTTATAGTATTAAGGACCTATGTTACAATGTTTTGGACCTCCATGTTCCATAAACTTATAAAGTGTATCCATAAACTTGTAATATCATAAATTACGTAAGAAAGGATCTCTATTACATGGTTATGGTAATGGTGGACCTTGAAGATGTAAAATTGGTACTTGTTCTTATAAATGCAATGGTTTATAACATTAAGGACTCGTATTACAATGCTTTGGACGTAAGCTCTCCATAAACTCGTAACGCATATCCTTAATCTCGTACATTACAAGATTTGGGTTCTCATTTATGATTTTTTGCACCATGATTACAAGTTTGAGGTTCTTCCTTATCCATAGCGTTGTAATATCTTAATTTACAATTGAAAGGATCCCTCTTACAATGATAAAGTAAGGGTAGACTTTAACGTTGTAAATGTGGTCTTTATTCTTGTAAACACAAGGGTTTACAGTATTATGAACCTCTTTTACAATATTTTGGACCTCCATGTACCATAAACTTGTAACGTATATCCATAAATTTGTAATCTCATAAATTACAATAAAAGGATCTCTATTACAAAGTTAAGGTATGGTGGACCTTGGAAATGTAAACGTGGTTCATATTCTTGTAAACGCAACGGTTTACAACACTAAGGACTTGTATTACAATGGTTTGGACGTAAGTGTTCTATAAACTTGTAAAATGGATCCTTAATCTCATAGATTACAATATTTTGATTCCTATTTACAAGTTTTTGCACCATGATTACAACTTTAAAGTTCTTTATAATCCATAATCTTGTAATACTATAATTTACATTAGAAAGGATCTCTCTTATAATGTTAAGGTAAGGGTGGACCTTGGAGAAGTAAATGTGGTCCTTATTCTTGTAAACGCAAGGGTTTACAATAATAAGGACCCCTTTTACAATGTTTTGGACCTCGACATTCCATAAACTTGTAATGAGGATCCTTTCTATTATAAATTAGGGTATTATAAGATTATGGAATATGAAGAACCTTAAACTTGTAATCAGATTGCAAAAACTAAAAAATGGGAACCCAAATATTGTAATCTATGAGATTATGGATCCACTTTACAAGTTTATGGAACTATTGCATCCAAAGAATCGTTTTACAAATCCTTAATGTTGTAAACCATTGTTTACTAGAATAAGGACCCATTTTACATCCTTAAGGTTCATCATTACCAATTCCTTGTAATATGGATTCATGTCCTTGTAAAAGGCTGATTTACAACATTATGGATTTGGTGAACCCTAACGTTGTAATCTAAGAGCAAAACCTTGTAAATTGTTACCAAAACTTGTAAGTTAAGAGTTTAAGGAATTGGTAATGGTAACTCAATCACTTTCTTCTCCTTCATTGCCTCATTTAGTATTTTGTTATGTTACATACTTATATAAATTTCGAGTATTTTAGTTGAAATTGTATATATTATATGTAAATATCATATTTATGTATTATATATTGATTATAAAGTGCAATATATATTATTTAAGTATTATATTATTATATATTCTTATTTAACATTTTTTTATCCGAACATGAACCAATTGTATTACGAAGATATGAACAAAAAAACAGAGACGGATCATAAGGGAAATTTTTGTTGGAAGATGCTATGAGTCATCTTTTGTTATAAGACATTTGTTTAAAGTTATTTTTAGAATAAGCACGAATACATATATATTTTTATATAATAATATGTCATCTTGAGAAGTAATTATAGTATGGCTTCAGAGTATGGTCATAAAATATTTATTATAATATAAGTGGATATTTATTGATATTATGTCTTAAAAAGTTGAATATCTTATCATTGATTGATATTAAACACGTAAACGAGTTATACTATATAGTGGTATTTTAGTTCCTTATAGTAATTTATTCACATTTAAGAAATAACAAAACAAAAAGAATAGTTTAGATGTTCAAAAATTGTTTTTGGTTACAAGTAAAAAAAACCATTTCAGTTTGGCCAATTGGATTTATATAAAGTTACCCAATTGATTTTGGTTACAAGTTATATAAAGCAACCCCTAACTCATGAATCATGAAAAAATTTGCAAATGTTGTGAAATAATTGTGACAACATTATGGTTAACCCTAATCCATAACACTGTAATACCCTAATTTACAAAGAAAATGACACATAGCACCAACGTAAGAATGGACTTTGGATGAGTAAAATTATGTCATTATCCTTGTAAACACAACTGAAAATCTTGTAATCTAAGAGAAAACTTGTAGACTTTCTACTTTTATACTTATTTTTCTTGACTTTTAATCCTAACCATGTACTATAAAATCCATGGTCGTGTTAGGAAAAGAATATAAATTTATAATACTTCGTGGATGTCTACAAAAGTACAACCATGTAACATAGAGTTCAACAAGTAATATAGTTCTCATTTTAGAAATTGATTTCAACCAATTAAATAGACAAAACTCGAGGTGAAAAAATTTGATGGATAAAGACTTTCAAGCTCTCAAATAAATGTTGATGCGCATTCACCAATTCTATGAAACAAAAGAAACAAAAAATTAAAACTATCAACCTCAATTGATTTTTAAAAACTAGGCATAAAATGCAGAGGAATTAACCATAACTAGCCATCATTATTCATATAAATAAAATCAGCAAATCATAATGAACTTGAGTAAAGCTACAATGAGGTGACACAACGAAATCAGAAGAAAAAAAAAAGTCAAATAGTTCTCATAAAAAAAGAGTGTCTAAAACGGTAACTTTAGATTTATAGAAGTAAACAAATACCATTGCGAAATTCATAAGCATGTCAACGTGAGTTAAAAAGAATAAACTCAATTAAAAATAACATGTCAAATTATATGCCAATTGCTAAACATGAAGGACATAATTGCATTACCCTTGCGCAATTGCATTTGCGTTAACTATTAACAAAAAGTGAAAACTTGACAACTTGTATAACTGGTAACCAATTTTTTTAAATTTTGAATTCATCATAAAGGACAAATGGTGCATGGGTGCACCTGGTGCACTATAGAAGGTGCCTCGCATGGATAGGTACAATCAATTTGAATGGACGAATTTGTTAGAACGAATCATTGCGTAGAAATATTAGTTTTAAATGGACGAATTTGTTGGAACGATTGATCTTATTACTTTTTGGGTCGTAATTGCTATTAGGAGGCAAAATGGCTGAAAATCGTTTCGGAAATGTTAGAAAAGCCCAAAAGCCAGCCCAGTGAAAGCACACGTCACCGTCTGACTCTTCTCTCTCTCTCTCTCCCTGAAGATTTCAGAAAAGGGCCGGCGACCCGGGTTTTTCCACCTTCACGAAAAAGCTTCGCCGCCACCTCCTCTGCCAAACCCACCCCACCACCGGCCCGGAACACCACCACAGAAGGCGGCAGAACGCTCGAAAACGGGCGGAGTCGCACCACCGTTGCCTCGCTGTCGAGGTTGTTTCTGGCCAATTTCGGTCACCTCTGTCGGCGATCTTTCTTGCAAAAGGTAGATCTCGTCCTCCTCTATCGTTTCCTTAGAAGACCCGACCCAGGCAAGGTGATTTAATTCATAACTTAGGTCTTTAATTGTTGATTAGTATAGTTTTAGTCTATTCCATATCCAGTTCAAAATTTTCATCCCAGTGTTTAAAGTTTTCTGCTTTGTTGGACCGTGTGGTAGACCAGCTTTATCACATTTTTCTTTCTTGAGTCTCTAAGTAGTTTAGAAAACATGCTAGCAAGGAGAAATTTGGTAATTGTTGTCCTGTTTCCATTATTTTGCTTGTAGCAGAGTATCTGATCAATGATGCTCATCAGAGTTGTAGGTGCTCTTTCTTCTATGCTTTTTCCCCTTGTATATTTATCTTGATTGTTTTTTTATTAAAATGAATGCCTGTTTCCACTGAGGAAGTTGGTTGGATTGATTTGGATTTGGATTTGGAGATCATAAATCTGAATCTTGTGATTGGACTCAAATCTTAATAAGAGTTGCATTTGCCCAAGCGTTTGAATTCCTAAATTAAATTAGGAATTTTACATGTAAAACCTCTCTCTCTCTCTCTCTCACCACCACTGTTGTGTTTTGTTGCAAATTGTAACAGTTGTGTGTATTGAATACCTGGATACATAATCATAGAAGAATTGTCAGAAGGATTCTTGGATTGCAATGGCAGCTTCTGCAAAGACTCTTACTGCTGAAAGCCATACTTTAAATGGAGACTGGACAGTTGTTTCATCTCGTCGTGGAAGACAAAGAAGAAATCCTCCAAAAATTACAATTCGAGTACAGAAGCAACCATCGCATTGGGCTCCAACTGATCACGAAATCAATTTTGCCCGAGAATCAAAATTGATGCAGAAGATGCAGATCTGTATGAAGAAATTGGAGATGTCTCAATTCTTTCTTAATTTACTGGATGAAATCCAAACTCCAGAAATGATGAATTACTTCCATAGGGTTTTGAGCTCGGAGTTGAAGATGAAGATGGTTATATATGGCATAGGCAGCATCGAATCATATGAATCCCCTCGTTTGCAGTTGAGCCTTGCCATCTTGCTGAAGAGAAAGTTCAATTGGATTGGAGATATAGAGGTCTTTGATCCCATTCTTTCTGCCACAGAATCTCGGGTTTTGGAAGCTCTCGAATGCTCTGTGTTATCGATAAATGAACAAGGTCGGCGTCAGGCTGAGAAACCAACAATGTTCTTCATGCCACATTGCGAGGCAGAGCTATATGATAATCTTCTACAAGCGAATTGGGAAGCACGGCTTTTGAATTGTACAGTATTGTTCGGGAATAGCTTTGAGACATATGAGCAGCATCTATCAGAGTATAAGAACTCAGCTATTGTTGATTCGACAAAGCATATCTTGGCTGTTCGAAAATTCACAGATGAGTTTAGGATTAAGACAATTTCAGATACTTATTTCAGTGCCTTTCATGATTCGAGTTGGCATTTTTTCAGGCCTGTCCTTGAGACAGAGCTGCAGTTGAGCAATTTGTAATTGTGAGTTGAGAAATTTCCTGATGATTGAAACGTATTATCATTTTTAGTACTCCATGTCCTGTTGAAAAAGTTTCAAGTGTTGGTATTATCAGTGCCTTTCAGAAATTTCCTGATGTTTCAAGTGTTGGTATTATTGATTCCTATTAACCAAAAGCCATAGGATCAAAACCCACAGAAAGCCAAGAATGTTACAACAATGAAAAACAAGCTAGAAAAAAAACAAGACAGAGCATTAAAAGGATTGGGGGGTGGGGAAGGTAATGAAGATGTGATTGTGTCTCATCAATTTATAATTTAACGATCAACAAGAAAAATATACACAGACAGACCCAATACTAAAGTGAAAAGGAAATCTCCATCTCTAATTAAGGCCAAACTGAGTCGACCGAAACCCTAGACTCTAGCTGCTGCAGAAGATCTTCCACAGCTACCATCACCTCATTTTCTTGTGCTTGGCCATTGCATTTGTAGTTGCTTCCATTTCTGGTCAGTGGGTTTTTGGCAGTAGAAGAATTAGAACAAGAAGAAGGAGGAAGTGTTGCCCACCACAAATTACTTGGATCTGCGTTATGGGGCCGACCTCCAAGTACAGACAAGAGAAGAACAAGAGAAGCCATAGAAATTTTGATGGAATTGAGAGAGAAAGAAGAAGGCAAGGCAATTGATGCAGTTGAAGTTGAAGTTGAAGATAGTGAGATGACTTGTTTTGGGTTTTATATAAACTAGTATGCGGGGGTGGCGCATGAGAAGAAGGTGAAGCAAAGTGAATAAGTAGCCCACTGCTTCTGTTGTTAGATTAGACCCAATGTTTGTCTGTTCAACAGGAAGAGGAGAAAACAAGGGATGCCCACTTCCCCAAAGCCACACTTTTCAGGTGACTGAATGCTAGCCATCGATGAGTGGAGCCCACGGAGATCAAAGGCTGGCATTCAACCGAGATGATAGCGTCTAATTTTTCAACAGCTGGTGGAGGATAGTTGGTCGCTGTATTTAATTTTGGGTCTTTGTTGTTGAACTAGATGGCATCCAACTGTTGCGGCTAGCGGTACTACTTGTATTCTATGTGCGTTTTTTATTGTTGTGGCCAACCCGTCACCCACTTTATTTAAAAATAAAAAATAAATAAAAAAAGAAGTGCAATTACAAAGAGGATCTTCTACTGATGATATATTACCATACATGTCAAATTTTAATCTAACCAAATACAAGAATGATTATACTAGTGTCCAATGGAGAGCTTGCAATAGTTTTCATTTTCTTCTATTCTTAATCTTAGAGCTCGTTTAGGAATGATTATGGATAAGCCAGAATAATTTCTAGGGAAAAGCACATTTTATGTGATTTTCCATAAAACTATTTAAAACAATTTAAAGTGATTATATAGATAAGAGAAGTGATTCTCCATAAAAGTATTTTTTAGCCTATTTAGAATTACTCTCAAACGATCCCTTAGTCCATGACTTTGAATAAAGGGAAATGACTTTTTACTCGCAATAAAACTCGAGCATTACTTATGAAATCAATATCCATTTATAAGTGGTGTCATGTGATTTCAATTCGGTGAATCTCAGCCTTGTGGTTATGTTTGGTATCAATTCTAAGTCATATTTCGTGGATCCTTAGCCTCTACATTTAGAGACACAAACACAGTTTCTCAGCTCCGGTGTGACTTGTGGAGAGGAAGAATCAGCTTCCTGCAGTGACTGATGGCTTCAATAATCTAACTTAGGGCATCTGTTGTTGAAAGAGGACTGAAATCCAGTCCTTTTGTCTTCTGTTTCAATCAACTTCTCCCTTAAACTATCTGGAAGGTAAGCCAAAGCACTTCTGCATGTGGGTTGGTTGAAGATGCACCAAAATGGGGAATGAGAAATACAATAATATAAAGATCTGCAAGTGAAAAATTACTGTAATATAATTCGTCTCTTTACTTTTTTTTGCTTTTTACCTTGTGACAAGGCCTCAGTTGAACCCAAGCAGCACCGATTGCCTAAAGCCAATATTAAATCCCTCTCGTGAAGAAGCTTCTTTTCCCGCTATAACGCCATCACCAGTGAACCATCTACATATTTATATCAACAGTCAAAGGATAGATAAGAGAGCCACTTGAATTCAATTATGTATGGAAAACAACTTAACACAGACAAGACAATGACGAAAGTGAGTCTCAAGTGTACAACCACCGTGTGGAATTGGTGATGCATCTTCTGCCAGTACCTGCCCAAAGTACATGCTTCAATTCATCGTCGGAAGCATCCCAAGATCCATCCTCATGACACAAAGCAATCAATCCTATCATGCTCTGCAACAAAACGTTAAACAGATTTCTTACTACAGAAAGCAGCAAAACCACAGCAGCTATAAAATGCCAGAAGAATTAACTGGTGGACAGGATATAAACTTGAAACACAAGCAGAATCGTTGAATGAACAATACTAAAACAAAATTTATTGCAGCTCATCAACATTTTTATTGTGTCCGTCTTTTTTCTTTTTAATTCCCAGATTTACATAACTTGGCAAAACACTTGAAATATCCATTTTCACATCCTTGACTACTGTAGGGCCTCCTTTTCCCACCATATTAATTTGAATGATGTTCGAATGTGAGCATCCAACTCGAACCAAATTGGCAATGGGTGAGGAGGCCCAAGATCAATTATACTCTTATGAATTTGCACTTCAAAGAACTTAAACAATGTCACACATGCTTCAGCTACCAGAGTTCACAGAGTTATTATAAATTTTTATAGCTGTTACAAATATAACCACAAATTAAGAGAGCTTCACCAAGGCTATCAAAGTAATGCTAGTTTTGCGAAACAATCACATCAAAATATTCTGAAAAGAATTAAAAAAAATACATTGATGTTACACAAACAAAGAAGATGTTACGTTCTCTTGATTTACCAAAAAATTATATAAAACAAATAAATAACAAAGAAGAAAACAAAGATATTTGAGATGAACATAAAGATAAGGATGTCAGAGATGAATACAAAGATATCACCATAAGAATTCAAACTCTCACTATCTTATCAAGTGAAGGGAAAAGCAGATCTTACCATATTGTTGGATGCTTAGTAACATGAAAGTTGATCAATTGGAGCAATTGAGTGCCGTACCAACCGCACAGCAGACCCATAATAGGCAGGTAGCCCAGTCCACCATAATATGAAATTCAGAAAATAGGCATGATAACAATGAATTGTGACAGAACTCTTTGTGCTTTATTTTCTTTTTCGTTTCCAGGAATGAAGAAAAGTATTTATCAAATTTTATAAAAGAAAATATTGGGGAGTACATTTAGAAAACAATATTGTAGGCAAATCACCCGAGAGCTGCATCTTCCAACATATCAACGTCGTACAATGAGGTTAGTTCTGTTTCACCATGTTCTTCACAAATCTCGTGATCACAAGCATCTTCGACATATCCGGATTGCTTCATCTGTTCAATGAGCAACTTCAAAAGATAATGTATTTCCTTGCATTGAGGATGGCTTTTATCTTTCACCATGAAAACATGCACACGACCCTGTATCTCAATCCAACTGCAACCTGGCTGCTTGATAACTCCCCGTTGCCTCATCAGCTTTCTTACTGTTACAACATCACCCCATCTTCCAAGCTCGGCGTACATGTTTGAGAGAAGAACATAAGGTCCAGAGTTCCTAGGTTCAATATCTAAGAGCTTCTCCGCCACATACTTCCCTAAGGTAATGTTACGATGAACTTTACAAGCAGCAAGCAAAGACCCCCATATAACAGCATCAGGTTGCATTGGCATGACCTCTATTAAATGTTTGGCTTCATCAAGGCAACCAGCTCGACCAAGTAGATCAACCATACATGTATAATGGTCCTTCAATGGTACCAAACCATGCTCTTCACTCATAGAGTAAAAATATTCTTTTCCTTCATCAACCAACCCTGCGTGGCTACAAGCGCATAGAACACCAATCATAGTGACATGGTCAGGTTGCTCCCCAGATGCCAACATTTTTCTAAATATTTCGAGAGCTTCAGTCCCATAACCATTTTGTGCATACCCCACAATCATAGCATTCCAGGAGACATAATCCCTTTGCAACATACTTTTAAACACCCGACATCCATCTTCAATGGATCCACATTTCATGTACATATCTATTAGAGAATTTCCCACAAAAATATCAGGCTCTTCCCCAGCCTGGAACTTAAATCCGTGTTTCAGTAAGTGTACATGAGCCTGCCTGCCAAGCTGCAGATCAACTAGACTTGCACAAGCATTGAGTAGATTCCCAAATGTATAGTGGGTTGGCAAAACAGACTCCCTCTTCAGGAGGAGAAAGAGTCCAACAGCCTCTTCATTTTCCCCATTTTGTGTGTACCCTGAAATAAGTGCATTCCAAGAGACTATATTCCTTTCCATCATCTTTGCAAACATCAATCTTGCAGCTTTTACACTTGCCGCTTTTGCATATCCACTTACCATTGATGTTTCGGAGACAACATTTCTAACAGGCATCCCATCAAAAATCCATCTGGCTTGTTTTAATCTATTGCATTTTGCATACATATCAACCAACGCATTGCCTAAAACAAGATCATCCCTGTATTTGTCACATTTTATGACACGAGCATATATTTGCTGACCTTCCTTTATTGCAGACAAGCTTGCACATGCACTTACCACACTGGCTAAAGTTAACTCATCTGGTTTGAACCCACCATCCATCATCCTCACAAAAACTTCCAGGGCTTCACGTGCTGGACCATTCTGCTCATAACAAGTAATCAAACTGTTCCAAGAAACTGTATTCCGGTCACTCATCCAATCAAAACTCTTTGTGCAGAAGCAACACTCCCACATTTAGAGTACATATCAATAAGTGCAGATCCCATATAAACATCTGACGAGTAACATGACTTAGCAATAAAAGCATGAATTTGGACACCCATTTTCAACTTTCTCAAACCTGCACAAGCACTAAGAGCACTACCGAACGAGTATTCATTAAGCACAAAATCCTCCACATGCAATTTGACAAAGTACTCCAAAGCTTCTTCAAAACGGTCATGCTGGGCAAACCCTGATACCATCGAATTCCACGAGCACTGGTCAGGCTCAGGCATTAACCTAAAAATCTGCACAGCCTCATCAATAAAACCCAACTTTGTTAATGTACTTATGATAGAGTTCCAAGTGAAAGTGTTCCTTTGAGGCATTTTATCAAACAATTTACGTGCATCGTCCAAACAACCACATTTTCCATAAGCATCAATAAGCCTATTCTGGATAAAAATCTCTGAGGAAAATTGGGTTTTGATGACACGAGCGTGGATGCGATGTGCATCGCGTGCTGACTTGGTTCGAATGCATGAATCCAAGAGCTTCGCAAAGGGTGTAGAGTCGAGGAAAGAGAGGTCACCCACAAGTTGTTTGAACAATCCATGTCTAGTTCCCATTCCATTATCTTTGCTACAATCAATTAAGCAGCATTAAAATGAGAATACATGAATCTATGTCTCCTACAAGGTGGAAAGAATAATATATCAATATCATTTTAAAATTAACTCATGAATGAAGATTAGAAAGATTAGAAAGAGTGTGCTAAAGGAAGCAAGAGAGCACATGTCATCGTATTCGTAATTATTTGGGAGAAATTTAATCACTCGTGAACTGTATGTTTCATATATACTGTTTTACTGAAAGTATGAAATAGTTGAGTTACATTGGTTAGACAAAAAAATGCAGAAGTTGCAAGAAAGATGAATGGCTCCAGAATCATCACCCAACCAAGACTTGCAGCATAACAAGACATAGTAAACACAATAAGAGCTTATCTCATATGGTAATACAACTATTATGAGTAACTAAGATAAGAACATAGCATGTGCCAAAATATTCGTTCGGTTTTTAAATATCAAGATCGCTAATAACCATGAAATTCTTCTCTTATATGGTCAATATGCATTAAAATAACAGCCCAAGTGAACTCAAATGGGCGTAAAAGGGGACATTTCCATATAAATGATTGGCTCTGCCCAATGTTACAAGTTGATCTTATTATTCTCAAAAAATCCAACATAAATGCAAGTTAGCTGTGATCATGATACAACAAACAAAAGATAACTGAACTAATTCAACGAAGAAATCTATACATCTAATTCTTAGGAAACCACTGAAATCCAAAAGCTCTGATACCATGTTAAAGTCCAACTACTAACAAAACCCGAAAAGGTTGTTTGAGAACAAGCCAACACTAATGGAACTGTGAGAGATTAAGCTAAAGGCTCAAATAGTATTTAGTATCAGCAGTGGATTGGGCTTCCCTGCTCCTACTGACAACAACAAATGTACGTCTGGTTTGCTAAATGGAACTTTAACAGAAATCCAACCCCATAATTAAGACAATATGGACAGAAAGGACCACCAATACCCAGTTAATGTTTCAGCTTCAGTAGAAAAGGATGAAACTAATAACCAGAAAATTACATTTCCATTAAGTCCGGTGTTAGCTTGGGGAACCCAGTGAATTAATTAACTGAGAAAGAAATGACTTGATTAACTGCAATTGAAAGAGAAGCTGACCTGGGATTTTTCAGTCAGTTGAGAACAAATAGCAATTACAGCGACTGCAATTGAATATCCAAATTCTAGGTTTCAGACGAAAACGACGACGTCACAGCGAGCTTACTTACTGGAGTTGGGACTTCCTTCTTCCTCCTATCAGAAGAGGGAAGAACCAATCCAAGGCACAGTTGTCTTGTTTGTAACTTTCTAATTTTCTGACTTTTTATTGGCACAAATTTGGGACCAAAACTGTATGCAATGCAACACCACAAACCCTGGTTTGGTTATTGTTACTAAAATATGGATGGGCCGTGACAGTTTCGGGCATCTCCAAAAATGAGAAATGAGATAGAGGAGAGAGAAGGAGGAAGCTCACCTGGAGAAAAAGAGAGAGCAGAGTGAGAATCAAAGAATGTGAGCCCAAGGTTTAGACAGGGTTTAGGGATGAAGCAATTTCGCCTCACACCGAACAAACGACGGCGTACGACTTTGGAATTAACGGCTAAGATTACTCTTCTCTTGCGCGCGCTTTCTCAACTCGCACTATTTATTTATGATTGTTCAACTTCTCCTCCATAACCATAGTTCGAAGTTGTTATATGTATGAGTGCTAGGAGGACATGACAAATTACAGTCTTTATCGTATATAGCCAAAATTTAGTCTATACTTTTATCAATGTCAGTTTTTATAAAATCTTTCAAATATAACGAAAAATTCTCTTGCACACGCACAATTGTATGCGTATTGCGGCCATGGTCGAACTACCTCACGTTCTTTGTTTTTTTGTTTCTTTGACATTGTACATTGTAGGAAGTAGGAGTGGTTGCGGTTCGGTAACTGCGAATTTTTACTCAAATCGCAAACCGACCGACTATTTGAAGTATGGTAATTTTTAAAACCGCAAAAGCGGTCGATTACCGTAAATTAGCGGTTTAAAACCGCAAGTTCTTTTTGTGTCATAAAAATTCAATCTTCCACATTTTGGGCTTAATTTTGATGTTTCTTTTGAAGTCTTTTGATTTCAAGCATACTTTAACCCAAAAATATAAATTCATAACCTCAACTTCTCAAGCATATATAAATTCACAACCTCCTCAACTTCTCAAGCATTCACAACCTAAAAAAAATTAAAGTTACAATTCCAAGCATTCTAATTAAAGTTAAACTTCTCAAGCATTTACAACCTCAACTTCTCAAGCATTCCAATTCCAAATCATTTAAAGTTACAAACCTAAAGAAAAATGTAATGCAAAATGAATTAAAGTTACAACCCAAAGGAAAAATCCAATTCAAAGTTAATTAAAGTTACAAACTAAAAGGAAAATGCAATACACCAATGTTACAAATTAAAGTTACAAACTCAAGTGTTGGTGGTGGTGAGTAGATTTGAACGACCCCGTTGTGTTGTTTGAGCACCAATGCTTTCTACAAAATGCAATTATTTTTTTTTATAAATATAATCACGGTTTGCAGTAACCACAAGTTTTGAAAATTAAATACCGTAACCACAACTGCATATGCAGTTCGATTCTTCATACCGCAAATGTGGTTCAGTTTCTCGGAATTACAGTTCCATTGCGGTATATTGTTGATTGGTTTTTTGCGATTTTTCGGTCTAAAATGCCACCCCTAGTAGGAAGTAAGAATTGACATATGCATCAATTAATTTAGGTGCATTTTGATGGAGCGATGGTGTTAATTGAGACATAACAAGCATAAGATATAAAACAACAAACCACTTGAATACTAAGACACAGATAGTATTAAGCATTTATTCTTATTCATAGGAAAGTCGGTCAGAGGTTTCACATATATTCAGTGCCTGCTTAGAAACATTTTACATATATAGCTACTACTCGCAACAGCATTCAGCAGATAAACATTAAACACGACTTCTTTTTTCTTCTTTTTTCGGGGTTGGGCTGTGGAACAAGCCTTTTCTTTTCTTGAAACGTAAACGGAAAGGAAATAGGAGTTGAGCTTGTTCTCATCTCATGACGCCCCAAACACCTGCAAGGCAAATAATAATAAAAAACACAAATTATAATTAGGTAGAGATTAACAAATTCATTAAGCAACGACAAAGAAAATCAAATTCATTTCACACAATATTTTCATTATTTGTCATCTTGGTATTTGAGAATCCAGATCCTCCACAGCCGTGTTGTTCTTAATTAAACATATTTAGATCATGTCACAGATCTCACTTTTTAATTTTTTATTTATTTATAAAAACGATATTCTACTCTAATCTAATCTAAAGAATGAGAAGGGGTGATGCAAACTTGAGTGTAAAAGTGCATCTGCTTTAGCCAACTTGACTAAGTTCATATCTACATCACGGATCTCAATATGAAGACGTAGCAGAAACCATATCCCATATATTTATTTAATCACAATCAGATATGTATGCAAAAATAACTTATTAAAATTATAAAATAAATACTTTTGCACGTATATGAGATCATCAAAAGTTAATGGAACAAAATGCACAGGAAGATGATGGATTACCAGAATATTATAGATTAGTCGCTGTCGCTGCTGCTGCTGTCATGGCCATCCTTCTTCTTGTCCTTCTTCTTCTTCTTCTTGTCGTCTTTGTCTTTCTCTTTGTGATCGCCGTCTTTCTTGTGGTGTTCGTCTTTCTTGTCCTTGTGGTGCTCGTCTTTCTTGTCCTTGTGGTGCTCACCTTCCTTCTTGTATTCCTCGTCTTTCTTGTGCTCGTTACCTCCTCCTATGTGGAGGGCGTCTCCAATCTTGTGAACGATTCCTGCCATTGTTACTCTCTCTCTCTCTCTCTCTCTCTAGAAAATATGAATGGATTTTGATCTTTTGTGAAGGGAAGAACGTGAAGATGCCTTTTTATAAGGGAAACACACAACACCTTTCATTTTCCTTTTATTTTATTTTATTTTTTATTACAGGGGCTTATTTGGTACAACAAAACAAACGCGTTTCTTACAACGTTTGGTAGAAGAATTTGAAATTGCCTTTGTAGAAGCACCTCGAGTGTAGTGTTTTTCTAGGTACGACTTCCAAATGTTTTTTTTTAAAGGCATTCTAATAGAAGCGTTTAGAAAATTAAAAAAAGTGCTTATGAGCAGAATCGCTTTTATCCAATTTGAGCGTTGGGAGGTGTAACTGGTTTGACAGAAATTACAAAAATGCCCACAGCCAATGAGCTCCATAGAACGTTTGAAAATGCGATATTGAAGTAAGAGAAAAGAAGAGGTTTGTCTGAGTCTACTCTCAGTCTCCATCACCCGATATGCCACATCTTCCAGATGTCGGTAAGATCGTCTTAACTTAAATTAATAATATATCACTATTCTTTTTGTTCCCCGTTGGCCATGTTTTGTCCATAATCCATCTGCTTTGCCAATTAGGTATTTGACTCAAGAAGCCCTGCCCTATTATCATGCGTAGGAGGAGAACAACTTCCCTCAATCTGGTATGTCCGTTAGAGGTTTTCTCGTGTACGAAGGAATCGAGCCCTTAACCCATCTTAATTCTAACTTATTAACTAGTCTAATCTCGCTCCAATTATTGAAACTTTTTATTTTCTATGTTCCCGTCTTTTTAAGAATACATAAACAAAAGATATTTAATATCTGAAAATGACTTGCATTATCTTTGAAATATGGTGTTCCTTGTGTTGAATTATGTTTGCACCCAATACTATATCGTTTTGGGACTTGTAAGTCGCATGTTTTGAATTTGGCATTTGGTAATTAGAATTCACATTGAAATAACATAATTAAATACAAGGGGAACACAGTTTAGCATAAAACAACATCTCCTAGTGAATTTGAAGGTGAAAAAGAATCGTAGATTGGGAAAAGCAAAAGCTCTGCAAAAGATTTTGCCAACACTTTGGATAAGCATGAATCTTTCTGACATTTAGCTATCGAAACTTTCAACAACGATCCTTAAATAACGCTACTGAAACTAGCGTCCACCCACCAATGGCATTAATCTCATGATTTTCACCAGGTCATATGAATCTATGTTCCAATGCTTTACACGTGTACGGTGAATAACTTGCCGACATTACTGGTAGCCTTATCCTGTTCTAAGAAACATCATAACTCTATGTAACCATCACTTTGGCCCATTGCGTCAATGTTGTCTTTATCATCAAACTTTTTCAGATATCCTATCCTATCTTATCTTCAATGAAAATGAAAGGTTTTTTTTTCTTTCTTGTTCTAGATACAGACCCAGTAATTTTATCTTCTTTGGGTAAATTACTCAAATGGTCCTTAAATTTGTATGCGATTTACATTTTAGTCCATAAATTAAATTATTAGTCCAAATAGTACATAAACTCTATTTTAATCGCCGATTTGATCCAACCCTTACATTCTGTCAATGTTGCTGTTAAATATGAGGGCAAATTGGTCATTTTGTATGTTAAAAATAAATAAATGCTAAAAAATAAATAAAAACTCTTCTCTCTGTCTGTCTCTCTCCCCATTCCCTCATGGCCACCACCCTCAAGCTCCAACCCCCAAACCAATCCCACAACCACTCTCCACCCAAACCTATCCAACAACCACCCTCCATCCCAAACCCATCTCTCCATTTATAATCCGCTGACCTCTCAATTCATTCAGCAAAATCTCATCTCTATCAAATTGCCTTTTATTTCCAACGCCATCCGCCCGCATTCATAAAACATTTCTTAGGCTCCATATTTTTGTTCAACATCATCTCCAGTTCTATATTCATTTGTGCATTTCATTGAACACATGAGAAGCAACCCATGATGCAGAGCATACAAATCCCCCACCCCACCTCTGAAGGAGTTTACTGCACGTTTATGTTAGAATAATGTCCTAGTATTTAGGGACATCTACTTGTATTTGAATTCCAAGTTTCTGTTACCACTTAGCTTTATTTCCGCTAAGTGGGCTGCTTTCTCGTTTCTGTTAAGATCGTGTATTGAATGGCTATTTAAGCCCAAGTTATTATTAATAAAACTAAGTCATTCAATCCAACTTGTGTTCTTGTTCTTAGTTTCTTTTAGGTCAAAGTTCCCAACATTCTGGTATCAAAGCCCCCCACTGGGCCTGATAAATAATCAAAGCAACAGTCTTT